TGGATGAAAGAAAGGTCCTTGAGCCTTAAAAAGAATGACTTAAATCTTGATGGCTTGGACCATCAAGATTGCAAATCAACATTTATGCAATTCTTGCTCTTCAATGGCTTTCTAGAAGTCCTCTCTGCCACAGTCTCTTTCCGTGCCATCATTCTTTGACCATCTCAGCATCGGGGTTCGTAGTTTTCCATGCTAGATTTTATCATATGTTGAACTTTCTATTTCTTTGGGCAAATTCCTTCATCTTAGGTCTGCAGCACACAGAAGACAAAAATCTGACTCCAACTCCAAGAGGTCAAAAAGAAAAAAAAAATACTCCACTGGTCATGTATATAAAATGATTATCTTTATATGCACCCTTTGAAGTTATCTCTTAAGCCCAATAAGCCATCAAGATAGCTGGGTGGATAAAGGCACCTGCCACTAAGCCTGAGCCTATTTCATGCTCACAATACCGAACTACCTCTTTAGAGAAGGTCACTGGGGAAAACTGAGTAGAGCACATACAAACTCACCCTGTACTCATCCCTCTACAAGATGGCATCTCACTATAGACATGCACAGCTTCTCTATATTATTTCTTATATATGTGAAGCTACAATTTCCCCCAAAAAGTTTAAAAATCATTTTGGAAAGTGATTTAACATGTCTATGAATTTCAAAGCTGTCCTATGCTGCCACACATGTATCTTCTTTCATTTCCTGTTTGGGTGAAACAAAGTACATGTCAAATTACTTTAAATGTAGCAACCAATTCCAGAAGGTGGCACTATTATCACACAAACAGTAAAACACTGCTTTTAATGTCAGGACAGTGGCCCACTGAAATTTCATCAACTAGCACTGTAAACACAAAGCAATTCAGCAATATTTTTCAATGCAAGTCATCTAAAAATTTGTACTTCTACGATTTTGTATGTGTATGGGAGCGTATATGTATGCCTATGCGGGTATGGATGTACACACGTAAACACTCCAGACTTCAGGAGTATCTGGGAGCTAATATCCTGATCCAAAGGCAGCAGGCGGAGAGACAGAGACAGAAAGAGGGAGAGGGAAAGGGAGAGAGGAAGGGGGGAAGGGAGGGAGGGCGGGCCAGGGAGAAAGAGACTGGGCCTAGTGTAGGCTTTTGAAACTTCAAAGCCCACAGAGTGTTAGAACTCCTCCAACAAAACCATACCTCACAACTGGGGACTAAGTATGCAAATATATGAGTCTATGGGAATTATTCTAATTCAAGCCGCAGAGGGGGCAGATTCCCTGGAGTTACAGGTGGGTGCTGGGAACTGAACTTAGGTCCTCTGCAAGAGCAGTCCATACTCTTTTAACTGCTGAGCCCTTTCTGCAGCCTCCACAGCAATATAATACACTTATTTTGCAGTTTCATATATAACGAAGTTTAGTCATTTTCCCCCTCTGCTACCCTTCCCATTATCCTCTTATCACCTGTTCCTTTTCTGCTGAAACCCTTATATCTCCCTTTTATGCTTTTTTTACTTTTTTGTGTGTGTGACCCACTATGCTGAACAGGGTTACTTATCTGTGTACTGGAGGGACAACATTTACTGGATCATGGCCAAGTTTTCAGTGGGTATACCATTGAAAATACACACACATACGCGCGCGCGCGCACACACACACACACACACACACACACACAATTAACTGGAAATAGTCCTTCAGGGAGGGGGAGCTCATGAGCACCTCTCCCCTCCGTCATGAAATACTGACAGGTCCACTCATGTACTGCATTTTGGAGGCAAGGTCATAAAGACGGGAACATGCTGCAGGGTTTGACAATGAACTAGACATAGAACAACAACAAAAAGACATCTAAAATCATTGCTGGTTTCTTTGGAGGGAAATTCTAAAACTTCAGGTGATTAATTTGTATTCAAATTGTAAGCATAAAATTCAATATATTTTATACTAGTGGTCTATCCTTCACTCAGTGGATAAGTGTTTGAGTGTCCTCTGGGTAACAGGTACTGTGCTAGACTCTAGACATACAGTTTACTACGGCAAGTAAACTACATTAACTATCAAAAAGTAGGCTCTTGAGCAAACAGCAGGGGTGAAGGTTCTAATGTTTGCTTTTTTTTGGGGGGGTTGACTGCAGCTCATCCCCACGTCAAGTACTGTGGGGATCCTGTCTTCTGCAATCAGTCTTGCCTTAGCTCAGCCTGACCAGCTCAGATGATTCAAACATGTCTTTTTTTTTTTAAGCAAGTTTTTAAACACACAGACATTTTCTTTGTACAATTTCATATGAAGCAGTCTTAATAATTCCTGGATCTGCTGGGCCTAGTGGTACACACTTTTGTAATCCCAGCACTCAGGAAGCAGAGGCAGGAGGATCTCTGTGAGTTCAATGCCAGCACATGGTCTATATAGTGAGTTTCAGGCCAGCCAAGACTACAAGTGAGACCCTGTCTCAAAAAACAAACAGCAACAACAAACCCCAAGAATTCAAGAATCTGAAATTTCTTCCCCCCCCCCCTTTTTTTTTTTTTTTTTGAGATGGGGTTTCTCTGTGTTGCCCTGGTTATCCTGGATTTACTCTGCACGCCACAATGGCCTCAAACTCACAGAGATCCACCTGCTTCTGCCTTCTCAGTGCTGGGGATTAAAGGCATGAGCAGCTGCTTCTTCCACCACCTGGTGTGAAATTTATTTGTTCAAAGGCAAACAAATAAACCAACCAAAATGTTCCTTACCAGTTTTACAGACTTGTGTGTCACATGAGAGCTGAACCTCAAAATGGGAATTAAGTTAAAATGAATTCTGAGCAGTTTATTCTCAAGTCATTACAGTGTTCAAACAATTGGACATATAAAGATAACAGGTGTAACAGTAGACATCAGGAGGCACATTCCCATTCTGAAAAAAAGATATATTATACACACAGAAAAAAAAACCGAAGCAAATATTACAGTATTCAAAGTAACTGTTGACACTTCAGATGTGACATATTTACAAGAAAGTATGCTTTAAAATAATTAAATAATTTCCATAAGCTTACAAAAGAACTGAAATATTAGAAGATCCTGACAATCACAAGAACATAGTCCTATGTTTTTGAATAAAGGTAATTCTATATAAAAAGTTCCAAAATAGAGCTAATAATTTTACCACCATGAAATATATCAAATTACCAATACCAAAATATGCTAAAATGAACGTGCACTGTGGA